GACCGTCAGATCAGCGGTTCCACAGCATCCGACATATCCGACTCTTTTGTTGTCACTGAACGTTCGGTCAGTGGTGAACAAAATCAACGAGCATGTGATATTCATGGTAAACAGTGTTGCCATTCCTCCCTGTGCCGTTCTTAATTCGAAATCGAAATCGGGGTTACACTTTACCTTAATTATGACAGCTGATGACGTGAGGTTGTCATGAGGTGGAGGATGGTCATCTATGAGGTCAGCAGGACGTACAGCCACAAGGGGCGCTCGCATTCGGCAGCATGATCGTAACTCATTCATTTTGGTGTGATTAAACCAAAACACCACGTTGTCCCTATCACTCACAAGTCACCGGACTTGCTACCCGTTTCCAAGGTGGTTGCACCCGAGTAACGTGGGAGTTAATTCATTGCTAAAGGGAATTTGCAGTTAACCAAACACTGCCTCTTCAGTGGACTCGAGCCCGACACCTCCAGAGTTCAACGACGACCTCTTAAGCAGTGTGATAACGCCATTTTACAGACAGCTTCAGGGGGACATTGCCGACGCTGTTATCATCTTCCCTAAATACCACCATTTTACAAGAGACAGAGACTCGAAACCTATCAGAGGTAAGGTGGCGACTTGGACTCGTCGTGAATACGGCTGTTCAGTTATTCTGAATCACTCTTCCAACGACGCCCTATACCCGGTTAGAAATATGCTATAAAGCTTAACTGTTATGTTTCAAAAACGTTTCTGCATTTCCAAATAACATCAAGCACTCTGTGCTAGACAACAGTGGCAAAATCTAGTAGATTCTGATCGACCGATGACAGAAAAAGAAACTTCCGGGACATATTCCTATGCTTTTTCTTGCATACAATCACGCAAGCAGAAAAATCACTGTTGAATATCGAACTTTTATGTTAATCGGATGCTTTGTTTTGCATTTGCATATTTATGACTTGGTGTACCTTTCAGTGCATAAACATTTGAAAGCCTACTAATACACCATTATATGAATGCAAACTATTATAGCGCTGAGTGTTGCCGCGATGATGTTGTTTGCAGTTAGTCACGTCGGTTAAACACATCGGCCATGTCGTGTCAGCTTGAAAGATGAAAGCCTTTGCCCTTTATTTATGCGTTTAAAGCCGTTTGGTGGAAAGAATCGTCAAGAAATTCAAGATATAACCGAAAATCGGCAAACTTCGCCAACTAGAGTCTCCCTCCCTCTCCGTTGTATTGGTTGCATGAAAATGCCGCATTCTGACGTGTTTCCGGCACGACTGCGGACGCACGCACAAACACAAATGCTCAAGCGTCGAAACCAGAAACCAGTTGACGTCAGTTAACGTTTTCCACCACGTCCGCCAGTAACTTGCACACGACCTCAACCTGAGTGCAATTCCGGTTTAGTGGTCGGGTGTGTTTACCGCCGCCGGCCGCGATGTACCAAATTCTTTCCTCAAGAATTCCGGCGAAATCCGTCGCGCAAAGTTGAAATGTCGTTCGTCAAGTGATACTCGACGCCACCGCCCTAACGCTTCTACTTCGAACGCCGCCGGACGGAACAATGACCGACCGTCGCCGGACCCGGCAAAGCTTTGGGGCTTGTCCGTCGGCGTCGTTACGATCCAGACCACCAAAAGCGTGACGGCAGCGCTTTAATGACCGCCGTCGGTGGTGACCAACCAGCATGCAAACAGACCGACATACTTTTCGACGAGTCGAGGTTTAAACTCTTTTAAGTGGAGCAGACACCGATTTTCTCACGCAATAGCCATCAACATCTGACACCAATTCGGACAAGCGAAGTCGAACAAAGACCGACCGTTGCTTAAAAAAAATTCTGCCTTTACCTCCATACAGTGAAGGCACAGTAAATAATGCCGCAGCTCGATAAAACTTGCAGAGAGTCAGGTGAAGAGTCTAAGAGCAACCTCAAGCAATAACTAAGGAAAACCTTTCCTCGCAGTCGAACTTTCAACTGCAGCGATAACATTGAAAGAAAATATTTTTAAAGATGACTAAGTGTTACTCCTATTTTTAATTAATCACATAACAATCTAAATTTTAAGTCCCAATCATTACACTGAACACTGAACATAACGCGATCTTCATCACGCTCTTCGGGAACAGCGTCAACAACGGCTTCGACGCAGGACTTGTACTACAGTAACTTGGTCGTAAATAACCTCGACAGCAAGGTCACCTCTGATGATGAGGACAATAGTCACGTCGTACAGTTTCAAACAGACACCTGTTGAGCAGTTCGATACGACGTTAGATTCGAAAGTCGAAAGTGCAAATCTGGTGTTGCTAACGCTGACAAATGTGCAAATTATCCAATGCTACAGAAATGCATCCAAAATTCGCTCGATCCGAACGAAGCCACGTTAAATCGACAAAAAGTAATGCACACCAGAATAAAGGAATGTGACATGACCTCAAGTTCACTGGAAGCTAAACTCGAAGAAAACTTATTCAATTCCATTGTTTATACACATGACGGACAGTCAAAACCGAACGACGTTTCACTTATCCTTTCCTCCACTTCGATTTCGATTTAAGAATCTCCCTACGGCGAGCCATGCAAATTTATATCTGTTTCTCAACTTATGAAGATCACTTTCGCTATGAAGAAGGAAAGCTGCTCGATTTAACCGTTCTACTACCCCCCCCCC